CGTGTATGCTTCATCCACCATCGATGGCGTTTCACGAGTTGCCTGCAACTACTACAAAGTAGCCTAATTAACTTGTGCGGAGAGTACCTCAATTCTTTTTTGTTAGGTAAATAATCAGCAACAAGTCCAGACTTAACTCTTCGGAGATAACACCAAAATTCTGGACAAGTGAAAACAGATCCCGCGTACGCGGCGTCTACATGAAGCCACAGACCATGTTTCTTCAGAGTGGACCTATCTCATCCATCAATTAAAATTGCAACAGCCTGTTGTTTTTCATGTGGCAGCACACTAAAAGACAGAGAAATGATAAAAGTAAGTAACTGTTCACTTAAAATTTACCGTGAATAATATATGAGTCGCTTTTTAGGACTGAAGGGTAAAATTAGTAGCATGATGTCCTTCAAATAATCCACTTTGACTTCCAGTTGGATTGCAGAAAATTTAAAAGCTCAAAGGAGTGGGAATAGTGAGTGTTGTAGCAATAGATGGCGTGAAAGGTCGTATTCCTGTAAAAGATGGCTTAGTTAATCTCAAACGAATGACAACGCAAAAAGGCTTAAGCTGTAATGATTAGGTAAGAGCGAAGATTACCCAAGAATAAGAAGTAACACCTAGTTATGTTAGCATTCTCACAACATTGAAAACAATTTCGAATGGAAAATGGATAGATTAGATACCATAAATTAAATAGCTAGATAATAGATGTATCCGAAAGTGACATAACCAACGTTGACAATGACTGTAACGTCAAGGAGATTTCGAGTTCGAGTTTCACGTAGGCGAGGTTTTCTTCAATCATTAGGTAGCAAAAAGCCATCAAGATGAGTACTTTATAAAGGTGAAAGGTTAAGCAATATTTACAATCATAAGGTTACCACTTTTTGCAACTTCAGAAGTTTTTAGGGCTCCCATCTAGCCCTACAGAATGAACTACAGAATCCCAACCTTTCGAGGATACAGTCTTAACGTCTTATTTTAGCAGGGGGCGTAATTCTTTCAAATCTGCGCAAAATTAAGAACAGCATTTGCAAGGTATCCTTATTTTCCAAAACGCTTGATCTTGCGAAGGTCTAATGAAGCACTCAAATCCCCCTCTCATGAGGCATGCTATGACAAGGGGCACATCGAGCTTAACTGCGAAAGGCACATTATCTTCGTTGCGAGGTAATAATTCATTTTACTTGCATACTAGTTTCTGCCCGA